ACTCAGCTCGATATACACAGCTAAATCTACTCCGCTCGATCAACTATTCAGCTAGAACTACTCAGTACGATCTACTCAGCTAGTTCTACTTAGCCAGCTATATACATAAATTTCAAAATAAATTTTTGTTTGCCTGCTATATAAATTCTCAGAAAGTTATTATACGTGCATAAGTTATTATACGTGCATAAAATTAGCTCAAGGCCTGTGCTCTTCACACTAATTTGAGCTGCTGAATGCCTGTTAAAATAGCCTTGAGTTACGCTGCATAAAGCCAAGAATATTTTTATTACCTTCAAAAATATTTATATGACAAAAGTAAGTTCAAATAAAATATGTTGCAAATTTAATTTTGCTTGTTTTTCTTAAATAAAAATATTCGTCTTGCTTTGCCTTTACGCACTCTTGGCATAACTTTGACTCTTGGCACGACTTTGATTCAGGTAAAATTCTTTAATTAAAGCAGTTTCTGGCCAACTTAAAGGCTTTTAGTTGTTATTGTTGTTGCTCTTAAGATTTTTGGCATTAAGAGTTGTTTGCTTATGCGAATAAATTTTATGCTAATTTAAATGCGCACATATTTGAAATTTCTGTGAGTTTTTTCTTCTTGTCACTTGCTTTTAGGCCAAAAGGCAATTTAGCAATTTGCATGTGCGAAATTGGATGTTGTTGTTCTTGTTGTTGTTTATCTGCTCATGAAATTGTTTGTCATGTATGTGGTTCCGTGTGTGCAGGGATTAGACTTGTATGCCAAATTAGCTTATTTGACATTTCAATGAGCAAATATTTGTAGAAATACGTAAAATGTGTTAAATGTATATATGTTTCACGCCTGACTAGCTGATAGCGGTGTGCATGTATCTATCTTATGTGGCAGCTTTAAGGTCCCAACATGTGTGTGTGTGAGTGTCCTTGAGTGCCCTAAATGGCAAGCTGTCAGCGCTAAAGTAAAGCCGTCTTCAAAGTGCCAAGCGGGCGCTCTCGCTCTGCATCTCCCACTCGCGCTCTGGTATTTATTTATCTGCTCTTGTCAGTTAATTTCCGTTCAAGTAGCCATTAAAACAATCATTGCGGCGCTTAGGCGCCCACACACATGCACACACACACACACACACACGTACCCCGCCATATTTATGTGACAAGCTTCATTTTTATGTGCCGCCATTAACAGCTACAGCTTGTTGTCACAGCAGCCATTTAATAATAATAAAATGACTGAATCCAAGCTAAATAACTCAATTATATGGCTACCATACGTGGGCATGGACCGTGGTTAGCTGGTGACCCAACCAAGCAACTAACCACCCACTCCCACCCGCCCACAGCTAATTTGAGCCTTCAACCGCATTCAATTTGTGCTTTTTTCCCCTTCTATTTGCTGCTGGCTTTTTCTTTTTCTTTTCTGTTTGTTCTGCATTTAATCATTTCCAATTTGGACTTAAAGCCAAAGCCCGGCGGCATTCATAAATATGTATATCGTCGTCATGTTGGGATACATTATATTCTGTGATTAGTTCAGCGGGCAACATGTGGCACGTGTCGGCAGTTAGCTCGATACAGTTGACTTGTCAAAGTTTTGGATAAGTTTTTAACTTTTAATGCCACTTTTAATGAACTCGACACTTGACTCAACATGACAGCCTCTTAAGAAAGGGTTTCAATTCAAATCTAACTGTAAGTGAAACAACCATCGCAACTAACTCTTTAATCAACTCACAAACGCTGTTCTGCTTCTTTCTGCTTTCAGCTTTTGGTCAGGTTAATTAAACTAATTATTTTGTATTTTTAATGGGTTTCGTTTGCTTTTAGGGATGTGTATTTTTCTTCAATATACTTTAAGCTCTCTTCCAATTTGGCTTTAATATGCTTAGCAACTTATTTTTTATTTTTGCATTGTTATGCTTTTATGTAAACTTTATTAAAATAAATTTATTAATAATAATAATTAATTAATATTTTATTTTTATTTATAAGTCCATTATATCAAAATTTATAGTGTTTATATAAATATAAAAATATGAATAAAAATATTTAAAATGTATGTATAATTTTATATAATATATATATATATATATGTATATATATATATTCGATATTTTTATAAATTATTATAATTTATTAAAAAAATTTGTATATATATTTTTGCAAGTTTTGAATTTTGATTTTTTGAGAGAGAATATCTTTATTTATTTATTTATTTTATATTTATTATAAATATATGACTTTTTTATTATATTTACAATTTATATAAATTCATAACATATATTTATGCATAATTCATTTTAAATAATTTTTACATTATATTATCATTACTTTAAATCTCATTAAATACTTTTTTCTAAATAATTTTAAAGCTAAAAATATCAGTAAATGGTAATCTTGTAATTATATAAGTTAAAATGTTTTTGAAATATTTTTATATTGAATATTATTGCACTTTATTTTGTTTTAGAGTTAAACAGTTTTTATTTATATTAATTAAATATTTTCATTTTTTTAATATTATTTATATATATTAGATTATTATTTTATATTATTTATATATTTCTGCCTTTTAGCCATTTACACATTTTATATATTTTTGGTAAAAAAAAATAGATATGACACCTTGGACTACCTGTCACAACCGTAAAAAACACTCACACACACGCACACTACTCGGCCACACACACGCACTGAGACACAAATACACAGCCAGAAATGGACACGCCACGAGTCCGATCAAATTGTTCAGGATGCGCGCTGGTTGGCTCTTGGGCACCTATATGGACGAGGTTCAGGACTTCGCAATTGCTTTCGTACGCGTCGGCACAGGAATAACGACTGAGGCGAAACGAGCCTGGCCCACGGACTTGGTCACGATGAGCCCACAAACTCACCACAGGCATTCGACGCGTGGTGGGCTACAAAATAAGAAACAGCTGCTTCTGCCAAATGGCGCCAAAAGCCGGCAAGGCATTTGTTTATATTTCGCCTAAAGAGAAACACACAGAGGCAGAGAGAAAGAGAGAGCCATAAGAGCATGCAGCTGAGTGAAAGCTCATCGGCCAAGAGCGACTGTTAACAGCGAAAGAGCGTGGCGGCTGTTAGCCAAAAGCTTCGCTTATGGCTTTAATAAATGGGAGCAACATAAATTCAAATCGTTTGCAGATAAATAAGAAAAATATCAAAGTTGAAAATGATAAAAAAAAGAAAAAAAATAAAAATAAAATATATTAAATAAATATTTTGCTTAAGTATTTCATATAATAGAAATGTAGTAAATAAATAAAACAATTGTATTAATATCAAGTAATATAAAATATTCAAGATATTAAGTATACGCCACGTGAACTTCAGAAAGGAGTGGAATTAATTTATAACTTATATAATATATTTTTTAATTATATATAATAAATATATATATTATAATACAATTTTTAACTCGTGTGACACAATACTAGAAAATATTCAACTTTTATATATAATTATATTTATTTATATTACTAAATTGTTCTGTATAATTATTATAAATGTTAAATATTAAAAAAAATCAAAACAAGTAGCTATACTAAGAAAACTTTATTTTTAAATTGAATTTCTTTAACATAAGAATAAATATTAAGAAATATTATATATAAACAAATATACATTTAAAAAATATTTAATACAGATTCCTTACAAAATCTTTTAATTCCTCAACAAACTAATTAAAATAAGCTTTAAACCTCAAATCAGAGATAAGTTCAGAGCTCAATGCTTCCTTCACTGCTGCTGATGCCGAGTAAGAGAAGGGTTTAATGCCCAAATGAAATATATAATATAGATGTACTATGCATGTTAGCACTTTGCTAGCTGCTAGGGCAGGATGGCTCTAATCAATAAGGCTTCAATTTGTGGCCAAAAGCACTCAGAAGTGCATACCTGTTGTTGGCTTTACAAATGTGTGTCTCAACTACATATATATACAGCTATATGTGTTAAGCAAACGTAGTTTGGGTAGCATGGGCAAACAATTTAACCTTTGGCTCGGCTTGACAATGCCATCAATCATTTGGTCTGGCAGCTAACATTACGTTTTGTAGGCAATCTCGCAGGCGCTTATCCTTTAACCTGCGCCAAGCGAGCACGAGGAGCATTCATTCAATTACCAAACCAGCAGACTTTTTGGGTTCACTCTGGTTATGTTTTGCCCTTTGTTTGTATTCAGATAAAACCCCATCTAAGTTATGCCAAAACCCACTCGAGCATCTCTTAAGGCGAAAATCATGAAATATTTATCAGATGTGTGTGGGTGCCTATAGGTGTATGTGTGCGTGTGTATATATCTGTGGCTGATTAAAATGCGGCTATGCTGACAGCTTGGCACACGAAACTAACTCATTTTGATGCGGAAACGTGCCACGCCTCAATCATTTGTTAAACGGCCCATGGGCGGCATCATATCATTTACCGCAGACCCGATAATCAATCATAATGAAAGGTACAAATACCACCTACATAATGCACACACACATGTGTGTGTGTAAACTATTTTGCAATAATTTTATTCAAGCAAAACAAACTTTTCATTCTAATTAACAAACACTTGTGGCCCACGCGCCCGCACTCTCTTTACATAATTATGCACAGGTTAATTGACTTGGCCATTAGGCCAAAAGGTAAACTTAAAGTTAATGCAAAATTCAAATAAAAAAACAAGCAAAAAATAGCAAGCAGTCAGAGTCGACTGCCTAAATGCCCTTACACCTTGGGACCATAAATGTAAAAGTTTTCGCCAGCTGCTGCTGTGGGAAAACAAGTTGCCAAACTTGCACTCAGCTGGGCCAGGTATTTTATTGTCCTGCTCGCCAAGAATAGATTGAGGTTCGAAAGCGAAGACAATCGAAATTTGTTGATAACGGTCGCCGTCAGCTGGGAAACGGGGCGCATTAAACTTTAAGTCAATTCTCCTCTAGCGTAGGCTTAGCTTAGCTAGTCAATCTCGTTTGCAAGTGCCCTAGCTACCGATGCTTGCCAGTTCAGTTCAAGTCTCGAGCCTAAATTAAAAATAACATTAGCCTTTCTCAAAATTAATTTCAGAATTCGTTAGGACCATGTATTTGAGCTTGGGAACGTTTGTGCTCGGCGGCGTCGTCGGCTATCTGGTCGCAAAAATTAATGTAAATATATAGAAATATTCGGACTTTAGATTTTCCTAACAACTGCATTGATTGTTTACAGCGCGAGGATTGAAATGACTCTGTGTTGGCTCAGAAATTGTCAGTCTCGAATCGATCTCAGAAAATCGCAGACAATCGAAATTGGTTTACGTCTGCTGGGAGATGCCGGCATTAAATCTAAATTCAAAACTCTAGTTCGGTTTAGTTCGCCTACTCTCAAGCGCAGCAGGCTTTTGTTTGTCGATGCCCCAGCTTGAGTCATTTCTCTTTCAGTTCACATTTCAAGTCTACAGTCAAACTAACTACAAATAACTAAATCTTTTTCGGAATTAATTCCTAATTTGGTTGCGTCGATGGCATTGTCGTATTCGCGATTGCAGTAAATTATGTAAGTGTATATGAATCTTTCGGTATTAAGTCTGGCTAACCAAAATAATTTTGACTTCTTACAGTTTTGGAATTGGCATGGCTCGAAGTTTTGCAATGATATTGGCTCAAAAGTCAATCACAAATCGAAAATCGAAAGTTTTGCGTTTGTCTAAAATAGTTCCTAAAATAACCTTTCCTATTTCTTTACTCAATTGCGTACACACTTGTATGCGAAATTTGCAATTCAAAAGTAACGCACAGTCGACGGTCGAAGTTCGGCGCTCAGCGACTCCAGAAAAACGGCAATCCTAGGCTGTAGCTTCGGCTCAGCTCACCTATTGGATCGCAGTAGACTTTAGCTTGTCACTGCCCCAATTCACAATTTCAAAATAGATTTCCCGTTTGATTACCGCCGCGATTACGCGCATTTGCGTTCTCTATGCGAAATTTGCCATACAAAAAGAAACTGAGTTGCCAGTCGGCGCATTCTGGAATACGTCAGCCTTAAGCACAGTTTCCTTACTCAATCACAGCAGGCTTTCGTTCGTCACTGCCAATGCTTCAGAGACATTTCTCATTTCACTTCAGAATTCAAAACAATTTAATAAAATTGTCATACATTTTTTTTCCAAATTTTTGTTCCACATTTGGCTTGAAAAATGGTCACGCATTTAGGATCGTTTGTGCTCGGTGGCGTTGTCGGCTATCTAGTTGCAAAAAATTATGTAAGTATATGGGCATGAATATTCCGGTATGCGATTTGCCTAACATTAACTTTGTGTCTGTCTTACAGCGCTTTTAAAATTGCATCGGCTCTGTCTTGCATTGGCATTGGCATTGGCTCAACGAAAACTGTCGAATCGTGCTGAAATGGCCTCGAATTTGTACTTTCCCACATCTTTTATACCTTTAGTACGAGCTTGTATGCAAGAATTATCAATCTAACAAGGCACGAGACAATGATTGTCTCATTTTTCGTCGGCTTCGTGGTGGGCGTCGTATATTGCTACAGGCGATCAAGATGCAGAAGAAAACGTTGATAAACTAAGCCAAAAATAAAAACAATTGCGAAAAGAAATCGTTGCTCTTTGTAATTATTACGATGTGGGTTGCCAGAGTGAGGCAGCTGGGTTTTTAAAAATGCGTCACAGATAGTTCCGTCTGAATAGAATTTCTATAGGACTATATACTCTTTGGATGACTGGAGTTTTTGTAAATACGGTATTAATATGGATATAGTATCTGCTGCTGGAGCTGCGCAGCTGAGATGGAGTTTGTGAATAGAATTTAGTTCTCCGGCTGAATAGAATTGGCTGCTAGAGATGGCTGGGGGTTTTGTTAATACGGTATAAATATGGAGGATCTGGAATGTTTGTGAATGTTGCATAATTGCCAGTTCTCTGGCCGAATATAATATAGGTAGGATTATATTTAAACCCTTTGCTGCTAGAGATGGCTAAATACGGTATAAATAGATGGATCGGAAACATGCAATTTACTGCTAGAGTTGTGAATACATTACAAATGTAGCTAAATCGTTGACTTAGTACCAGTCTCCAAGCTAAAGGATCTACGTCAAAGCTGCTGCATGCTGCAAAGCCTTAAGTCGCACCTCCCTCTAGCAATCATTGACTTCAAAACGCAATTTATGGTTAATAATTTATTAACATGTTTGCTGGTTATATTTTAAATATCCATTTCATACAAAGCTCATGGTCTATTGTATTCACTGCACGCAAAGATTTCGTTCCTCCCATTGCAACATGAAAAATTTTGTTGCTAGGGTGGGCCACAACGTTTACACAGCATCAAACCCGTTATCAAGCCCAAACCGTACGATATGATATGACTCATCATCGAGCGTCCTCTGATCTTGAATATATATATTTACATATATTTATTTATATTTATTTAAATATATTTATATATAAAAATATTTATATATATATTTTTATATATTTTTAGATATATATTTATATATATATTTTTAGATATTTATTTATATATATATATATTTATATTTATATATATTTTTTACAATTTCTTGAAACTTACAGAAAAACTGAGCTTACACAACACAATTTGAAAGTGAGCAACGTCGTCAACCCTTTGAGAGAATATGAGACAGGAAGGCATAAATAAATAAACATATAGTTTACTGAAAGCAAAGTCTACTTGTTCACTAAAAATTACCTTATTCCATTTACTTATTTTTCCTCTGCTGGCTTTACCGTAACCTTAATAATGTAAGCCAATTAAATAACCAACAACGCAGCCCACAAGTAAGCTGATTACCCAATCAAACTCCATTTTTCATCTGATACCTTCAACACTTTTAATAATTGGAAAATTTAGAAACTCGAAGAAAATAATGTTCAGTAGAGAACGATATTATAGTTATGAAACACTTTTTAAGACTGATTCTATGCCTTGGGGCTGCTCGTTAAGTACACGTTTCTAGGCATGCTGATCGCACAAAAAAACACATGGAGAATCAATCTTGATTGACTGAGTGACTGACTGCAAATAACTTGAAATTCTTTCAATATAAAGAAAGGCATATCTCGACTATAAATAACACAGACAATAGATAGATATAATCTTAAATATACGAAAAGGGCAACTTTTCAACCACTTTTTATATTAAAAAAAAAAATATATTTATTTATCGGAAGGTTAGGGCATTACGATTTACATTTAATGTTTGTCCAAAATATTGTGGGCCCTGCCATCTGATCTGCAATACCATTAGCCGAAAATTGTTATTCAAATAGATCTCCTCAGGCACCTTCAAACATATTTAGGGAATTAGATCACATGTCGTCTGGTCTGGTATCCATTTCCATCTTTCTTTACAGCTTATGAATGTAGTCCAACTACAAAGCCGACCACACAACCCAAAAACAAGGTTACCGCCCAAGTGAAATCCATTTAAAAATTTTTAAAAAAACTTATAAAAAGAAAGCAAATTTTTTAGAATTTTGTTTCTAGCCCTTAAAATACCATACTGAAATTTATTACAATGCCTGCTTGGCAGCTAAACAAATTTTTGAAAAGTATTCCAATTCAATCTGCAACATTTAAACTTAACGACGATTTGCCTGGCCACTAAAGTCCCAATGTTTGTTGCGTATCAATAACCAGAATTTCGTTAAGATTGTCTTAATTATTTTCACGCTGAGTAATTCTAATGATGCCTGAACACATCTTAATAAGCATATCAGCACTTAAAAAATATTGTTAAGTTATGTATAAATATACATAATTACTGTCATCGAAAAGAGTATCGCTCTTTCGTGGTCAGATGTATTTTAATAATTTAAACAAATGTATTCAAATTATAGTATTAAAATTAAACAATTAAAAAAGTTCTAGTCGAGGTCCCAACTGGGAGATACCCTGAACCCAGTCCTATCTGCGGATTTTAATATTTTCCAAAGCATTATATTCATAATACATTTACAAGAGTTTTTAAATATTTTTTAAATACAAATATATATAGATATATATGTAAATATTTAATATATATGCGCAAAAAAAAAATATAGTCACAGTGAAAATTAAGAGAAGAGATTATAATAACAGTAAGTTTAGCAATTAAAAATTTTAAAGAGAACAAGGCTACAAGAGAACATGGGCAGCAATTGAATCATAACTTAATTTGCATGACATGAAAAATCATATATCATTATCGTTAATGATATTTACAAGTAATTAAATTATAAATATATGTACATATATGTGAGAAGAGACTCTCTGCCTCTGATAAACACCAAGCGCACTTAACTTAACAATTTAAAAAGAGAACAAGTCAGCATACTCTTATACCCAGTATGCTCTTAACTTAATTAGCATTACAAAAATAATCACGAAAACATATATGATCTTTTTCCGAATTATCATTATCGCCAATGAACATTATGACGAACTTCATTATTATAATAACAATTGGTGTTTATTAATAATAGTTAAGAGTAACTAAAATACTAACATTTATATATTTTTAACATTTAAACAATTAAATATTTATTTAACCAATATATTTAAACAAATACAATATTTATTAACTAAATACAAATTATTTAAACTTATACAATTTAACAAAAAAAAAAACTTAAATTTATTCACCACTTGCACTGAACACAACGACTGACCCAGTCCAGGTCATAAACTTGACTGATCGCCCACAGCGCAGCTGCGCCCTTTTATACCCAAAAGTCACTCAAAAGGCGACGCCAGCAGAGCTGCTGAACCTTTTTTGAGTGAGAATTTGCACTCATTTGGAGTTCTATTAGAAGCAGAGCGAACAGAGACGGTTAGCGATATGTACACAACTTGTCATTCTGAACTGGAGTATACATGCTATACGGTCGGACGGGCAGACAAACAGATGGACAGACAGACAGACGGACAAAATCAACTCTGTCTTCCTGTATGCTATATACTGTATGGGACTTGCCATTCATTTTAATAATATCATTTATAATAAAAAAATCAATATATAAAAAAAATTATATGCATTGATACAAAATTATGGAAAATATATATATAATAATAATAGGTATTTTTAAATTTTTTAAATTAATATATTTTAAAAATATTATTTTTGCTTTGATAAAATATTTTAAAAATATTGTATTAATTGTATTAGACCAAAGTAAAAAGTTATTTAACTATTTTCAGGTTCTATCATTAGCTTTTCTTTTGATCACTGATACATATATATATATATATATATATATATATATATATATATATATATATATATATATATATATATATATATATATATATATATATATAGTTATAGTTAAAGCTTGGAAAACAAACAAAGCGAGAAAGAAGAACTTAAAGCTGCTGATAAGCCACAAAATATTTGCAAAGCTTCAAGATAAGTTTAATGGGAGCTTAAAAAAGTTTTAGAAATGGAATATCTTAGAAAAAATACTTAAGTTTAGTAATTTATCAAGTTATCAGAAACAACCCTACGACAGTCCGAAACCGAATATAAGTGATGTTTGTGTGTGGGCCAACTGGGTTGACAGCAGGCTGTTTTTCCGTTCGGCTATTTGTGTCAGGGTCAGTCGACAAAACTATTTTCAGGCAGTCATACACACAAACTTTTCGTAATACTGTTCAAAATTTTCCTGTTTTTTGACTATTTGATTTCTTTTTATTTACTTTTTATTCCTCTTTTCTTTTGAATTCTTTTTGTGATTTATCTTTGGAGCCAGCCCGCGAATGTGTAACAAGGATGGCGGATCACAGCGACCCTCGGGTTGCCCAAATCCATCATGTAGGCCGCCACCGTCGCTACGTCCGACGTGTCGGCCACCACCGACGCTCTTCTCGAAGCTCAACTGTACGGCCTGCAATAGATTGTTTTTCTTCATTGTTGGTGCTGGCATCGGGCTAGTATTCGATAAAATTAAAGAGGACGCTAGAAAGGCTCAAGAGGAAGCGAACAAAGATCCCAAACAAAAGGAAAAAGAGAGAAAGGAACGGGAGAAAAAGGAGAAGGCTGAAAAGGAAAGACAAGAGAAGGAGAAAAAGGAAAATGAAAAGAAGGCCAAAGAACAGCAGGAGAAAGAGAAAAAAGAGAAAGAGAAGAAGGCCAAGGAACAGGAAAAAGATCAGAAGAAATAAGGCGAGCCATCACCTTCCAAATTCAACCTAAAAAGCAAAAACTAACAAAAGCCAAAATTGAGAACCACCGTTACGGTTTTTCAACTTAAAAAGATGGAAACGAAGGGAAAAAATATAATGGCGGTACAGGGTACGCCTACACTAACTGTGTGACTCCAAATTAATAGTTTACAAAAAAAGTTTAAATTTAAAGTGCATTCTAATTAAAGGAATTTATGTGCAAAATTAAAAGACCAACATGCTAATTTTCTAATTTAAAATTAATATATATATATATTCGATAATTTATAATAACTAATATGGGAAATTTTTATTTGGGTATTAGATGGTGCGAGGGAGTTTTTGTTAGATAATGTATTTGAAGGCTATTGTAATTATATTTATGGAGTATTAAAATGTGGATTAAAAATTAAAATATAAATTTATTTGATCGATTTATTTCATCACACCATTTTTAAATTGGGAAAATATTCTTTAAATTTATATAATTAGAAAAATATCCTTTAAATTAACGAACTTATTCTCGCTCATTAAATAATTTTTATTCAGATAAATTGCATTTTACATTTTCTCTCCCCAGCTTTTAGAAATAAGTCAATTTTTCATTTTTAAAAATGGAATTTGTTTATTTAAATTAACAGTATTACTTAAATTTTGCATCTGATCAGTATTTAAAACAGTATAAATAATAAATAAACTATGTACTCGTGTCCCATTCTTCACTAACTGGGCTTGCATATGCAACCAAAAGCGAGCTTACTTTTCGTTCGGTTCGGTTCTTAATGCTCAGTCACTTTTTCTCAGACTTCTCTTGTTCATCCAGCTGGTCCTTATTCCGCAAGTAAATGACACCAACTCCCACCCCAGCCATGAAGAACAGAACACGATTACATGGCTTACAATTCAAGCGGGAGAGCAACGATGGCTGTGGTCTACAGGAAGATCGTCGCATCTCTGGCATATTTATTTATACTGGATAAATGATGTTTAAATGTTGTTTCGACTCTTGAAGGGTAGAACTGAATATCCAAGTTAGCTCGTCGAGCTATATATATATAAATTGTTTGACAGATGTTATTTGCCCGGCCCATGTGATCCGACCAAACGTTACCCCATTTATATTTTCACTATTTCGAAGATTCTGCACAATTTATTTGGTTTCTCCTAGCGAGCCTATGAAATAATCAGCAATCGATTATTGAAACCACCGTATGCCGAATCTCTTTACCATTATTTCTGGGAACTTTAGCCGTCACTTAATGTGCCTTGCCTTGCCTCACGCCGCGTGTGTTAGCTTTACACACTCATATTTATAGTTCTAATATGTCTTAGAGCCAAACTTTCGTTTTGATTTTGCTGAATTGTTCCTAGGTCAAAAATGATTTTTGATCTCAATAATTATGCCTCGATACACGCAAGCTATGCCAAGAGTTCGCCAAAAACGCCAACAGATCGGGCTCTACTTCTTTTTTGATTTCTGGGAGTCGTCCGCCTTTTTCTGCTCTGCAGGGAAAGTCTTGCCATACCATAGGCCAACCAAAATGCCGCCTAATGTCGCTGAGATGCGCTCACACCACATATGCATCTTTGAAGTGAATTTGGATACTAAACTAAGCTATTGCCGAAATCTGTTCAATTTACTCTATAATTTTGTTGGAATTTATGCAAAAGATTTGCTGCGTGTAGTCGAGTTGAGTAAACTAAATATATTTAAAGACCCCGTAGCTCCTCAGCTCAAATGTGAATGTCTAAAGGCCAAAGCCTACTTTGCATGACAATTTCTGGCATTCTTTCGCTTAACTAGCAAGTAGAAACAGGCCCTACAAAGTCGTCATTAAATCTTAAATGGCGACATCTCGAAAGGTCCCTCAGCGCACTTATTTATAAATGTTCATATCAAACTGTTGCCATCAGCTATTGCCTCGTTTCTTTTCCTTTTCTGGGTCACATTATAATTTCATTTGACAATTGTGGCACATCAAGATGTCACAAGTTGCGTCTGTTCCGTGCACTAAGCGCCACACATACCGAAAAGACTTCCGTTCAAGAGCTCGAAATTAAGCATTGAATCAAGAATAAATGCAACAAGTCGCTGCAGCGAATACCCTTAATTAGAATTTTGTTATTGCTTAACTTTTCTCACATTAAATTTATAAATAAAAATGGAATTTTTATAAAATATTCAATTAGTTAGTGTTAAAAAATTGACTTTATCAAAGGATTTTGAATTGAATTTACGCTTGTTTCTCAGCTCATCAAATTTGTTGGCTCATAAATTATTTATAAATTGTATGTCGCATAAATAATAAATTCATTGACAGCATGTGCTGTTGAAAAGCTTTTAAGAAGCTTAAACAAAAGATTCTGCAATGAATTTAATCGATATTAAATTTTAAATGCGCATTAAATTTAAAAATAAATTTAATCAATTTTAATTGCACATTCTATTTATATTGAAAATTGCTTGAAATAAATTAATTTATTAAATTTTGATATATGAATATAATTATTTAGTTTAAAATAAATAAATTTATTAAATTTTGATTTATCCTTATATTTATTTTAGAGTCTAAAATAAGATTAAAATATGCTGCATCAAAAGCTTTTGTTTGTTAGGCTATTTGGGTTATAGAATGGCCTTTAATAATAAATATATTTATAGAATATATATATATTTATCATATATATTCTCACTCATATCCCATATCATATCTTTTCGTTCTTAGAGCATTTGGTATTCAGCTTAGCCATGAAAGTTTTTCAAGTCTCATAACGAATCACGTTAACAGCTTGTAACGTACATTATACAATGGAATAACGACTTGGTTATATACTTTATATTATGTTATATAATCCAGGGCACAAATGATGCTTGTCTGCAGACGATTGTGAGCCACTGTGTGTGTTTGCCAGTTTGGTTAGCTGCCCGGCCCCAGGGCAGAGGTAAAGCAAAACAATCACAGGTCGCACAAGGCAAAAAGTTGTTCAATTGCACACGAGTAACCGAGTTGTGCTGTGTGTGTGTGTGGGTGTATGTTTGAGTTTTGTTGTGCTTCAACAATGTACTCATAACACACAACCCCCACATATACACACGCACACACAGCCTCATAGCTTCGGGCAGGTCTTGCTGGCACTCAATGTTAACTCACCTTGGTATCTGCAGCGCAATCTCGTCGAGACTGTCGGATGGACTCATTGGCGTCCGTTCGAATAGCCGGGAGGGCGCCAGGGTCAGGTGGCCAGTGGAATCGCTGACACATTTGAAGACCTTGGCGCCGCGCCGCTGGCGCTGCTGTTGACGCTGCTGTTCGGCGCGCTTCTTCCGTTTGTTCTCCTCGGCGCGCTGGAGATTATGCAAGCGAAAGAAGAACATTGACATTCTGCAATGGGCAGGGGTGGGCGGCTAACGTGAAGGGTGTGGCGAGAGGGGTAAGCAGAGGATTTCGGAATGCAGTGTACAGCGAAGCAGGCGAGTTATTATATTTTTATTTTGATATTATTTCGATTTTTCATTTTAATTTCAGTTTTTTTTTTGTCGTTAGCCGCAATTTAAAATTTGGAATTTTTCAAATGTTGTTTTCGACGCGCGCGCGTTTTGTTGATTGTTGTTCGCATAATTTACCATTTCAGTCAGAGGAAACAAAGCATTTCATTTATTGTTGTTGTTGTTGTTTTTGTTGTTGTTGAGTTGCATTTGGTTTGGAAGCAGCATGAATTATGCAACAGAATTGAGAGCGTAAAGCATTTTTGATTTAAGCACTGTGCATGAGTTTACAACTCTGTGTGTGTGTCTGTGTCTGTGTGTGTGGCTTGCAATTTTGGGAGCTGCTGTCATCCAAAGTCGTTAGTGCACCAGCATACGTACATGGATATATGTATATACAAAATGCGCATGCAAAAAGCCAAAAGCTAAACATAAATACAAATCAGATTGGATATGCTGCAATATAAATTGTATAGACTTAAAGATACCCAGTGTTGGATGTGGTAGGTATGTGATTAAGCAATTTTATAATATTTTTAATTTATAATACATTTTTAATGCACTTTTAGAGATGTTTATAAAGGAGCTACGTTTCTTAATCGAACCTATTTTAATATGTTCAAGGCAAAAAAGAAAGACCAAAAGTTGAATCGACTTTAAGTAAGTTTATGTAATTTATTTATACAAATTTCTACGGGTTTTACAATTTTTTTTGTTTTATACTTAAGTCTGCCAAGCATTTATATAATTAAAAAAATATATATATAATAAAAAATGTATATTGATTATATTAATAGCCATAGATCAGCTTCTACGCAGCTAGAAAATTGTTAAATATTCCTAACTTGACAATATACATATAGAAATATATATATATACATAGAAATATATACATATTTTTATGCAACTTAAAATAATTAAGGATATATGTTTATCATAGATTTTCTAGTAAAAATGCGATTTTTCTGTGTCAAAAATCATCATCATCAGTCATCAGTCAAAAATCAAAATCGATAACAGCATCAAAATGATTCCACCTGATAAGCCTCTTTGACTCGGCTTAAGCCAGTTAGACAGGGTATTTGAAAGCCAAATCTAAATGACATATGCGCTTCGGGGCACACAGAGCAAGCAGCAAAGTAAAATTAACTTCCGGCAGCATCAATCAAATTTAAGCATTCTACAACAAGAGACCGATAGAAAGAGATGCAGAATAATAGCAAGGATAGAAAGAGAGTGAGAGACATTTAGAGTAGTAAAGAACTAGCAGAGCTGGGCAGCTGCTTGCCAAATGTGTGTTGCAGACCGGAAATTGAAATATGAAGAGCGAAATTTTATTTTGGGCATCTTTAAAATGCTGAAAAGTTTAGAAGAAACCAAAACGGAAATGAGCGGAAGGAAATTTCAGCCCAATGCCCCAATGCAATTTCTGTGCGTCATTCGAAACCAACAAAACAGATAAATAGAGAGGGAGAGTGAGAGAGAGCAACACACTTCATTCAGTTAGCCACATAGCAGCTGGCAGCAAATCAATTGGCTAAAAAGCCGTAGTCGGAAAAATGGAAAATTTGTTGGACATTGATTGATCTGGCTGCAATCGGGCGTTAAATACGTATTACGTTTGTCAGCAACAGACAGCGAATGGGCTTCCGTTCAATTAGACCACAGTTATTTTTGCCTAATGACAAGGCTCGGCTCCGCCACTTAATGAGGCAGTCGAACAATGAGTGCGCGGCTGTGGGAAGATTGTGTCAAAAAATAAATTAATCGAAATTTACATAAATTTACTTAAGACATTGTCGCGTCGATGGCAGCGTCTGTGCCAATACCAATCGAAATACAATGCGGCTCTCCCACAAGTAATTACCAATCGTGTCCCAGACGGCAAGTAAAACAAAGCAAACGAAAGAGATAGATGGAGAAAGAGAGAGAGAGGAGGAGAGGTAGAATGAGAAAACTCAATACAACATGCACAGCGCATGAGATGTCCTGGAAAATGGACTTAGTGAATTATTTCTAAGTAAAATATATTTTTGAGAAATTATTGAGTTATTTTAATTTAATTTAGACAATCATTAATATTTTTAAAAAATTTTATTGACCTTACTATAAATTAAATAATTATAATAAATATTTACTGAACACATTAATTCCTTAAGCTTTGTGTTTCTAAATTAACGCGCTTTAAAAACAAATATTAAGGAAAATTATGCAAATCAACTATTTTGTAATTTCTATAAAATTAAATCACTTTTGCTAGTTCATCACAGTTCATCATCTCACTCATCTCAACCACAGGGTATTTGAAGAAACCAAACACTTTGCATCATCATTAGCTCGTGGAGAGAGCGTCAGACACTGTGCACACTTTGTTAATTAGGCAAACTCTGTCAGTGTTTAATAGCTTTATAATTTCCCCGAGCTTTCCATGGTGAACATCTTTGGGGGCCAGAGCTAAATGATTTCAAGTGAAGAACATAAAGTAAATTAAGGCTTAATGGACATCCAACAGCCCAAAAGTTGTATTTAAATTTGACTAAAGCTAATGTGAGAAATAAAATTGAATCGATGTCGTCTCGTATACGAAACATAGTTAAATAAATTAGCTTATTTAATAGAGCATTTTCACGCTCTTTGCGACCGACGACTGCAGCTCTCTCTAGGGCTTTCAGTGCATTTTAGAATATTATTAGAATGAGTTCTTCCTGGATTCTAGTTGCGATGGTTGGCTTTGCACTGTTAGAGAACGCACAGCCGCTGAGAAATATCAATGTAAATCTATGTAACATACGTGTAGCTATCTTTCCACGCTCGATGTGCTCACCGTTACAAGAGGTTTGGGTGGTATACCATGGCATGTGCCGGTTGGGCTATACGTGCATTCGCGGTTATACAAAGGCCCAGTGTCTTCAGAACTGTTTCACAACGGTCACAAAAACACCAAAACTAACAACGACAACAACTACAATAACGACAACAACTACAGCAACGACGACAACTGAGGAACCCACAATTGCGGTTAACCAAAGGGTAATCGCCAGCGGAAGAAGAACGCGTAGAACCCGAACCACTGAATTACCCACCCAACCAATGGCATGAAGATGAAGCTGATAACAGATGATCGCAACTGGCTCATGCAATATCGAAATAAATTTCACGCAGTCTAATTTTATTTGAAACACTTAACAAACAATGCGAAGTATAAAAACTTATTTTAATGAAACTCTCTAGACCCAAATGGCAAATGCCGACGAGTTATCCAATCAAGTCGTTAAAGCCATAGAATAACTAACGACAAGCCAATAAAACAAAACATGCTTACGTCTTACAACTTCGATTGTAATAATTGCCAGCAGAAGAAGAAGAACCAATTGGTCGTTAATGCAGCAATAATTGGATGGCAAATACAATTAAATACTAATTCCTAAGCTAAGCACAGTGGTACTAATTAAGTTTTAATGGGGCATAAATAGAGGAACATCTGTTATCTAATATTCCAAATGTAAATGCAGCAAATATTTCTAAGCTAGCTAAATTATTTGAATAGATGAGAATCTCATAGAAAGGCAGTGTTGAAAAAAAAGAAAAAGGGAGAGAGAGAGAGAGAGAAAGGGAGAGGGAGATATAGACAAAAATTGAAAAAGATAGATGGACACAGGGAGATATATAGGCAGAGAGGGAGACATATAAATATAGAGAGAAACCGAGTAAAAAATATACTGGGAGACAAAATGATTGAGTGGAAGAGACAAAAAGCGATAGAGAGAGAGAGGGAGACAAATATATACAGATAGAGAGAGAGAGAGATAAAAAGAGAGAGTAAGCGAGAAATGGGAGTGATATAGACACAAAGGGAGAGACAGGAAACGAAACGATTGACAGAAAGAAAGAGAGTGAAAAAGTAAAAGACAGAAAGGAAAGAGAGATATAAAGAGAAACAAAGAGGGATAGCGACATATTCATGCATGATTCTATAGCTGCAGACTAACTTTGTTGACTTAAGTTTCTATGCTTTGAAGCACAGATGATGAACTAACTCGCCTGATCAAGAATATGAGCATATATTATATACTGCTGTCACCTGCCACGCATGCCTCTGCTCATTTTGAATGAAAGCGGAAAAATTGAAAATTCGATCGCGATTGTTAAGTGGTAATTCGCCGACAAATTTGCTTCCGTACAACGTGTAAAATTAGCGAAACTGTTAAATAAACCTAAACGCAGCTTATCAAGCGCACGCAGCTGGTTTGCTTTTGGCCTGGCAGTGGGCTGCGTGCCGATGTCTTAAACGATTTCACGCCCATTGCGAAAGAAGCGAGAAAAAAAAAGAGAAAACAAACAATGGCAACATTTTCAGCATTCCAACGAGCCCAAAACGAACAATGGGCAGCAAAAAAAAAAAGAACGTGGAGCCCAATAATCATTAGGGCACAAAAAACTTGGTCAAAAGCAAAGAATTGTGACCCGCTGGCTTTTGTCATGTATTCGGGTTGAGTGCGTTCAAGCGCACGCAACTACACACACACACACACACAAGTAGCAATTGCGAGTGCGAATATAAAGCACAATGCCGAAATAAACACTTGTGCGAGCTTCACTGTTGCCTCCTGCTGTTCTTAGCTGGCCACAAAAGGCCATATTTTCCAGCTCAACAGTGGTGTTTAGGCCACGTTCCAATGCTGTGCGTGTGTGTGCCTGTGCAGGACACAGGTCATTTCATTGTCCTTATGATGAGGCGTGCCGTAAAAAAAAATTCCATGTCTGCCGCCCAACCGAAAAATGAAGATGCGCCATAAAAATGTAGACAATTTTTACGACACGGCACAACATGAGAATGGCCACTTTATTTCTTCATTAAAAATCCAGTATTGATTGTCCCATACACGCACACACACCGCACTGCAGCACTACACACTTTGGCTTTAACAATAGCAATTTGATGGCCTTTAACTGTGAACAGACGTGATTCCTTTTGATTTAGTTGAGACACGCAAACAAACACATGGACACCCCCACGCACACACGAACAAGTGTTAAATAAATCAATTATTAATAATAAATTTCAATCAATAATATTTCATATGTCCAAAATTATGCTGAATGTAGTCGAAATTAAATATGTGCATAAAAATTCAATTTACATGCATCGAAACACAATTGTGTGCTGAGCTGTAAAAAGTCCAGGAATTATATATGTATAATTAGAGATAAAATATAAAAAAATAAAATAGAGTGTATATTATAAATATATATATATTTTGCATACACTATAAACATTTTTTTATATTTTATTTTTATACATATATTTATTTATACTTTTACCCCAATTTTCAGCAAATTTATTTTAGACTTCCTACCTTTTTTTTATTTATTATTATACATATTTTTAGTAGTATATATATTTTTTAATTTTCCAATTCAACTTTAGTCTACAGAGTATCTGCTAGTTTATATTTACGCCCTATAAATATTTTATATATTACACAAAAAAAATTAGTTTCAATTTTCCAATGAACTTTAGACTACAGGGTATCTGCCAGTTTAATATATATTTACTTCATGCATTTTTTTAAAACTCTTCTATAGCATATAAGAATATATTTTTATATTTTAACCTCTTTATTTATTGCAAAAAAAAACGCTTTAATTTTCCAAATCAGTTCTAGTCTACAGAATATCTGTTAGTCTGCTTTTATATACTCTCTATAGCCTGCAAATATTTTTTTATTATTTTAAGTCCCTAATTTTTTACAAAATTTTTTTTTTAACCTTCAAAATCATCTCTAGTTTACAGGGCATCTGCTAGTTTTGTTTGTTCTCTGTTCGCTTCGAGCTTTTTGTTTCAGCTGAAAATTGCAATTTATATTTAACACGCACAGCCGCTTTTTTAGTCACGTTGCTGACTCTTTGCCTCAGCCGGTTGCCACGATTTATTTCTTTGTTTTTTTTTCTATGGTTTTTTACGGCTTTTGATCTGCTTGAATTTCAATATGGCTGAGTTTGACATTTCACGACGTGTTGAATTGCCAAAGATTTGTGCCGGAAAATATTGGAGCCAGTAATCCAACTGAATTACATTGTTCCATAGCTCCACTTCAGTCTATAATTACTTGCGATTCAACTTT